GAGCCAAGATTGGAAAGGGGAAGGGATTATGCCTTGCTGTTAGTGCAGAGGCTTACACAATGCTGGGTCTCTAGCATGCACGGCAAGACCTTATGGTTTCATCATGGTTTCCTGGCAAGGAATCGCTAAAAGATAAAAGAAGGGTATTCTCATTTCCAGAGCGACTTCCGCGGTGCGACAAACCATGCCCCTTTGTGTTCCGGCCGGTCTGTGGCAGCGACGGAATCACCTACAATAACGAGTGCCTTCTGGAGATCGCCATGTGCAGAGATGCAACACTGTTCAAGGAGTACGACGGGGAATGTGGTATGCACTGCTGCTTTGTGTTTAAGGGTGTTTTTTGTTATTAGTTGAAGTAGTCTTGGCTATTTTCATTTGACAATTTAGTTTTTCTTATTCCAGTATTTTAAGTTATCAGGTCCCAACACATTAAATTTTCCTTTGTACGTTATTTCATTGTTAGTTATTTCCCAATTCTGTTTGAAAAACTGGCATTCTTCGTAATTACTCAACCAGTTTGACATTGGTATTTAACAGATGTACTGTTACTCAGTGTATTGTCACATGGGGTGAAGATGAAGCCCCTGTAATTGAATTTTGAAAAAAATATATATTTTTCTTCTTCAGTTGTGATCGACATTAAATCAAACATAGTGTTGGCCAACTGCATACCTTCCCATTAAATATTGGTCTAACTGAATGGGCAACAGCTACACTTGAGTTAAGGAGTATTTAATGAACCATTATTTCTACTACTTAGTGCAATTTTCCTACCGTTATTGCTTCTGCTTGGACCGCGCCCACTGCCATCACCACCGTCATTGCTTCTATTTGTTTTACTCAAGAGTTATGGACAATAATGATACACCCCCAATTACCAACAGAAGACATAGACATCTGCGACAGACCTTGTCCCCAAGTGATACAACCTGTCTGTGGCAGCGACGGAATCACCTATGACAACGACTGCCTTCTGGACGTCGCCATTTGCCACGCCCGAGAAACACTCTTCAAGGATCATGATGGGGCATGCGGTATGTGGTGTTTTGTTTTTCGTTTCTTATTCCGATTGAAGATTTAGGTGATGCCTTTTTAATATTTGGTTGGTTGGTATGATTAGATGATTTAATGAAGCTGAGCTATTGTAATGCTTCTGAAGTTGATATTCAGCAAGCGGAGGGTGGTTTGGTTATCACAAGGTGATGGTCTAAGAGTGGGAAGGGTTGAATGCAGAGAGGGAAGGAGATGAAACAGAGAAAGAAAGAAGGATAAGGGGAGGAGGAAGTATTAGAAGGAAAGGAAGAGGAGAGATAAAAGAAACGTATTTGGTGTTGTCGTAGGAATGAAGCAAGGAGAGGGAGAAAGGAAGGGTAGGGAAGAGTAAGGTAAGGCTGACGTTGGAAGATGAAGTGTGCGAAATTAGTGTAGGGTCCAAGTGTCCATGGAGGGCCTGGAGCAGTGGGATATGGAGCTCAAGGATAAGGATGGAATTCTGGTGTGAGGATATATTGGAGATGTGGGTGGTGTGCAATTTTTTTTTTTTTTTTTTTTTTTTTTTTTTAATGTGTAAGGGAGGGCAGTCTATGTATTGGGATTGGGGTGGAAGGATTTGGATAGTGATGGGAGGAGATACGAAAAACCAGCCACTGTTGGAGGAAGGTAGAGGGAGACCTTATCTGTGTGGACAGGCGAGGCGGAGCAGATCCTGACCTGCAAAAGTTATGATTGTCCCAAAGGCTTGTGAATAGCTATCAGTATCTGATGATACTGGAACCAGACTTTATTGGACGACGTCAAATTTGGTGTGGCGGCTTGAGCGAGGCATGCAGCTTTGGGCGAGGAGCATTGCCCTCATGAAATAGGAAGTGCCAAAGAGAGTATATCTTGGGTGGAGTACAGGGAGTACATTGAGCTACGAGTCATTTGCCTCAAGTGCTGCCAGTGGGACCACAAATCATGGACCAGTCAGCAGGATGCTAGGTGTAGTTCTGCGGTAAGAAACGCGGAATGCAGAACCAAGATTGTTATTGCAGAGGCCTGCACAATGTTGGATTTCTAGCCTGCAGGGCAAGACCTTAAATAAAGATCGACTCCGTGGTTTCCTGTCAATGAATCGCAAAAAGAAAAGAAAAAGGGCTGGCCACCACGCAGGGAGAGGAATTCATTCATCAGAGTTAATGGGGATGGTGTAGTTGTGCAGATAAATGGATAAGAATACTTCAGATGAAAGAAGAGTATTTTCATTTCCAGGTCGACTTCCGCGGTGCGACAAACCATGCCCCTTTGTGTTCCGGCCGGTCTGTGGCAGCGACGGAATCACCTACAATAACGAGTGCCTTCTGGAGATCGCCATGTGCAGAGATCTAACACTGTTCAAGGATTACAACGGGGAATGTGGTATGCACTGGTGCTTTGATTTTGTTTAAGAGGTGTTTTTCTATTATTAGTTGAAGCAGTCGTGGCTATTTTCATTTTACAAATCAATTCACATTTGATATATTCCCCTAAGTATCGAAGAAAACTCTCGGATAACACTGACCAATGGTTATTTTTCCATGGCATTTCTTACAAATATCACGTAGTTTATTCTTTCTTTCTTACTCCAGTATTTTAAGTCATTAGGTCCCAACACATTAGATTTCCCTTTGTACCTTATTTCATTGTTAGTCATTTCCCGATTCCGCTTGAGAAACTAGCATTCCCAGTCCATACTTGGCCAATTTCCCA